GTATTTTGTTCCAATTGGACTATCTCATTCATTGGCTCATGTGCCCTTTCATAGACTTCCCCATGGACTCAGAGGCCACTAGTCCCTGCTAAAAAAGCAGCTGAGGAGGTAGGGAGGCTGTGTGTGTTTTAAAAATGTGATTTAAAACGGTGGCCTGAATCCAAGTAAGCCTGTACTACTCTCCCTACTCTGTTATCTAGAGAGCAATGGCACAGAAAGATCAGTTTTAAACTTAGTCTCCATAGCTCCTTTGTCGCAGCCATATTAAAAAAAGCAGATTCCTGGGGTTTTTTTCTGAATCAGAAAGAAAAAAAAAGTAAAGGTTGTATCCAGTCTTTTTCAGACCTCTTTACAAAACATTCTAACCACCCATACAAATTAAACTCAGAATTGCCTAGAAGCATTTCATCCTTTGTGTTCATAAACTAGCAATCTTGACCTCCAGACTTTAATTTACTTTACTGAAATATTTATTTCCTTCAATAAATGAAGCATTCCAGATTTGACTCTCTTTGCAACAAAGATTAGCCAGAGAGCACGACCATCAATGTACCAATTTTATTTACTGCAATCTCTTTATATAAACCATGAAGGTATAAAGCTGACTACCAGAAGAGTACAGAAGGTATTAGCAAACTCATTTCTAAAGCTTCAGCTTATCAAGTTAATGATTAATGAATTTATTAAAACAGAGATGAAAGTCCAGGAGCAAAGTTCCAAAGTAAGACAGACTGATTTTATTTGTTCTTAATCCAGCCTCTCATTCAAAAATAACAGTACCTATTACTGTGACCAGAAGCTTTTTAATACCTTGCATAGGATTGCTAAGAGTAAAGCCAGCAAAAGTAATGATTGACTCCTGGAAACAGCTGTTCATAAAATAGAGTCCTTTGCATAAAAGGCTAGGTGTGGCCAAGGAGAAAACAAGAAGCATTTGCACCAAAGCCACTGCTCTGTCGTCATTCAGTACGTAACAGAGCACAGAGTGGGGATATCAGCCACCTCACTGTGGCACACTGGGATTGTTTTACTGCATGCCTAAATAATTTTATGAATCATGAGAAAAAGATCACCCTCTTGCATAAACTCTTCCAAAAAACCTACCCGTTATCTATAATTGTCTTCCAATGCTTCTCCCATTTGCCACGTACAGAGTCACCCCAGTCCTTTTGTTGGACTTCACCGACTGTGGTATTTCAGACTTGCCCCCCTGAGCAGTGGGATCAGGAAAAGGAGGAAAAGCAGGATTTGCAAATGGCATTATAAAACAAGCATGCAAAAGAGCTGAACCATCCTAGCTTTAAAACAAGGTTTTCAAGTTGATAGGTGCCATTAAGGAGGACAGGATGCAGTGCTCAGATGTCACTCATCCGTATGGTCTCCTGTCAATGACCTTTGCAAAGGGCAAATCAATACTAAGCAGATACTGTATCTACTACTTCTAACTGTGTAGGAAAGGTCAACTCATTTCCATGTATGTATCAGTTCCAACACTACTGTTTTCAGACACAGAACTGCTTAAACCTGGGAATCAATAAAAAAATTCTTATCTTGCACGTAGCAGCATTTCAAAATATGTGATAACTTAAAAAACAAGACTTGGAATGAAAACATTTCATAAGCAAGGTATGATGCGTATAGAAGGAATGTAAAGCTTTACCTTGCTATCATGAAATGTTCTCTACAAATAAATGCAAATGAAATTATAAACAGCATTTACGGGACTGCTTCCTTAGCAAAATTTAGTGCCACCTGTATGTTTTACCAAAAAAAAAAAATATTTTTAAAATACTAAGACATTTACAGTCATTTTATGCATGCCTGCTGCACCTTTTTTTGTTTGTATGACAGGCCACAGAGATTATTCTCCTCTTATAGTTCACTTAGATGGCATATTTTGAGAGGAGCCTTTATAAAAATGCATGTTTTGGTTCTATATTTAAACTTGATCCCATTTAGCTCAATGTCCAATCCTTTTAGCTTCAGCAACAAAATTCTGTAATACACATATTGCCGCAATCTAGGAGATGCTTGGTACTGAAATCACAGCTGAAATTTCTGGCCTTTTGAAATACATATTTGAATTCCTGAAGTAGGATTCAGTTTAACATACCACAGTACCTGAAAGTTCAAGGATGAACACCAAAAGTCTATTACAACAACACTGTGTTTAAATGAAAAAGTATCCTGTTGTATATTTTAAACACACTAGAAACTTCAAGCAACATTAAAACTTCAGTCTGGCTCTGGTCAGAAGACACTGCTGCACTATTTGATATTGCAAGGGTAAGATCCACAAGGACAGTGTTTTAAAATATTCAGATAGTATTTTTAAATGCTTGCATATGGGAAAAGGGTTATTTAATACTCAATGTAATGAATTTCCTAGTTGCATTAACTGCAACATCATAAGGAGATATTGTACGCCTGTTCTTTAGCTGTATTTAAGTGGAGCAATGGCACTTCCATACATCCATAAGCAAAGTCATAAAAAGGATCTATAATCTTTTGATGCATACATTTAATACATTTTGGTAAGGTTTATTACAGTTCTTGCTTCCTCTTCTCAGCATCACTCATGGTTAATGTGGAGATGGAGATATGCACAATGTTAAAAATCACTCAGCAGTTCCACTTCAAGAAAAGAGAAGCAATGTTTTTAAGAATAAAACAGCTATTTCTACTCTTATTGCACTTGAGTTGGTCAAGAGGTAAGCCATCTTATTATAATTTTGTAAATCTTAGAAAACATCCACTGCCTCAATTTAATTATTTACTTTATTTTCTTGCAAATCCACATTCTAAGAGTAGTTTCTCTCTGTCAAGCAGATATGAAGGTAAAACCAAATCATTCAGCTTTGTACCATGAAACAGTGTACACTGCCAGATTAGGAAAGTCTATTCTGATGCTGCTATCAGCAGTGTTGACAAATATAAACCTGAAATTAAGCTTTGTGTTTATTTTTAAATAGTTGGTTGTACCATACCATTGAAAAATCAAAACAAAAAACTAAAAGAAAACCCCCCCAAAATAAAATCATATTTTCTTGGGGTCAAACACTGAAAAAAGAGCTATACTTCTGACTGCAGCCATGTGCCAAAATCAGAATTACACGCAAGCAACTAACTTTAAGATTTCTGAAATTACCTGCTGAATTATTTTTTCGCAGAGGAAATACAGTCTATGCACTGTGACGCAGGACAGAGCTGCCTGTCTCCCTGTATTGTAACATTTCATATTTTGATTAGCTGCAATGGCATAGAAGTATAGATTTTTAATATACTTTTATTGCCTTTTAGATAGCTGACTTACTGACAGTGGTTTTAGGGTATTTTCTTCCTCAATTTTTACGACTACGCCTTTTTGATGACTATGCTTTTTAAATTTTTATTGGGGAATAATGGCTGAATTTTTATAGGGACAGATGACAAATTCTATTAGATACGATACTGAAAATGTTCATTTAGATGCAGAGGGAATTTAAAAAAAAAATCAAAACAAACAAAAAACCACCCAACAAAACCACTAGTATGTTCTTGTCAACTCCCATCCTGCTCTTAAAAAAGTCATAAAGCAGGATCCAAAATAATACAAGCTGAGGATGTAAGCTCTTTTAAAGTAATCTAGGTTTCTTACAAGGTGAAAGTCTATTTCCTTACTCACTAACAACAAAGAACAGAGAGTACAATAGCAATTATTCTAGAAACAGTTACACTTCCTACTGTGCCTTCATAAGCAGAACGATGAAACACCAACGCTGCAATAACACTGAGAGTAAATGGAAATCAGAATGCTAACAGTGCATATGAGCACACAGGTCTGCTCAAAAGACTCTGAAGGGCTGTAGGTATTGCTCTATCCGGCTATAAGTGGCTGCTTTTGAAAACAGCTATTCCTTGTAGGTAGTCTCTTCCATTTCCATTTGGCTATAGGTTGTCATCCTGCACAGCATTAAGAGATGGTTGTAGAAAAAGTAAAAATAAATGCTTTCTCCAGAAAGCTGGTGGTGGGGAGGAGGGAACAGGTTATAGCCAGCAGCAGCAAGCAGCTAGAAATCTTGGGTTTTTTACACCCTCATAAAAATGCAGTCAGAGAAAAAGGAGCAAAAAGGTGTAAAACAGATTTTCTTCATTACAGCTATGAACACTACAATGCTATTGTGCTTTGGAGAAATATTTGCTTTCAAGGAAGATGATAAAAAAGACGAATCTGTGATGCTTATTTCCTTACACTAAGAGTGCCATTAAAAGCAGGCAAATAAACTTAAAGCATACATATTCTTCCATAAAGACATATTTTATAAAATAGCAAGAATTACCCGAAAAAAACCTCTAAAATAAATAAACAAGTACCTAAGTTGTATATTTTGTCATGGTGTAAACTAATGGCAGGAAGTGTACTTCAGCACACTCCATCCCGAACTTTAAGGAGAATACCTTATTTAGAGAATCAGTTCATTTTCTTACCTGTACCCAGAAGCCCCAAATTCAATTTTGCTTTTCTTTTTGTTTTTGCTCTTAACAGTTTTACTAAAACTACTTTCAAAGGTATTCTATTACTCCAACAAAAGTAAGTACCTGCTGTAAAACAATGTACACATTTCCATAAGTCTTTTATAAATTCTGACAAGCCATTATGCCTTATTTAATTTTATTAGAATTTTAACCATTTCCTGGTGCCTAGTCCCACCTTACTATCTTACCATACCATCTTACTAATAATTACTTTTTAGATTCCAACTTCTATATCTTAATTAAAACTTTGGATTTGCATCACAGCACTGAGCTAACTACAGGACTTTGAGAATTGGGGCATCTGGGAGAAAAAGAACTGATATGGTCCAACACTTGATTGTCCAAATACCTTGTGTTTTAAAAGTGAGGTGTTTTCTTTAGGCATGACAGATGACACTCAGAAAATGGCATCACATCACACAGGCCTAATAAAAATGAAAACTATGAAGGGCATTATACAAGATCTGAAAGAAAGATTATTCTACCTGTATCGGACATGCTCGATTGTGTCATATGTCAGCTTGCTGCTGATATTCTGACTATGAGGGTTGCCTAGGAGACAACAGAGATACAGAAGTTAATCATTAATCACAATTTTGCTATTAAATTTCTCTTTAATGAAAATATTACACCAAGCCAGCCTAAGAGGTGACAAAGAAAGATTCAATGTATACTTCATAGCAATGCCCTGAAGCTCCTTAGTTAGTCAAGAGAAGGGACATATAACAAGCTAAAGCAATTATGACAGATCTGGAAACTTCAGCTGGAACTCTTTTTAGGCAGTTATTCTAACAAGGAAATGCAACTGCATATGCACAAACATACTAGGAAAAACTACAGACAGAATGTACATTCATAAATGTATTTATGCAGTAGTTAAGAAGCAAGAGACAGCATCTAGAAACAACAGACATTAATGATGGAACACCTGGATTAACCCTGGCGGTTTTAGCGTTTGAAATTCACATAATTCATTAAAATATAAATTTTATTGCAAAATTAGTAGCCACCTTAGACCAGCTCAGCACAAGCATGTATTAACAAATAAGACAGCACATAAGGAGGGCATGAATTGACAAAAAATTTGAGAAAAAAATTCTTGAGCAAAAAAGATTACAGCAATATCCACCCAGGCACAGAACACTTTCGTATTAGTAAGTACCCAAAGATTAAGCCAAAAGAATTTGGAAAGGGTGTAAGAAAAAAACTGCTATACAAATACAGTTTTTGCAGTAGGCTCAAACATAAGTTACTCTATTTTTAAAATTTAAAAATCACCCTGCTGAAAGCCATTGAGCGAACGTGTTGAAATTAATAAATTTCAAGTTCAAACCAAAAAACTAATACTTGTACTTTTCATGTCTGATATTGCATTTCTGTAATTTCCAATTCAAATATTCTCAATTTAGAAGTGAGAATATCTCTTACTTATATTACTTTCCCTCACTGACACATGCAACAGTTAAACTACAGTTCTTTTGGCCTGTGGATTACCACCAAGAAAATAAAAAAAGCTGCAAGTCAAACTCCCCTTTCAGTCACATCTGTGTTTGTTAAATTAACTCTTTTTATACAACAGTTGCTGTCCTCAGAGTATGAGATGTAATTTAAAAAAAAAGAGAATTGACCATACTAAAGCTCTCGTCATCATTTTAGATGAAAGCACTAATGAAAAAGATACAATTTGTTCTCCTATAGCATTATAGGTACTATGCAAATCTGGCAGCACTACTATTTCTACTCACAAGCACTCAATTGATTCACAAATTATATTTTTTTTCTGCCACAGATGGTACTTATTATAAGGGTTGAGCCCAATGTTGCCTGAAATAACTAAGATCAGAGCATACATTTCACTTTACAATGTCTGTTGTGAGAAAACATTAATTTTAATATCACTGACATGCACTTCAATAGGAGATCTTAAATGTAATCAACATATTTTGTTATAAGAGAAAAAAAACTTCTATGCCTATCAAGAATAACATTATTTTGCAGTGGAACTTAATTCCATGCTTTGGATCCTGGCCTTGCCAGCATTCAGGAAAAAAAAAATAAGGGAAAATGGCACATACAATGGTACATTGAAAATTAGACTACCCAAAACTCTGACGTGGCTTGCCCAGTTAGTAAGCACAAGTGTGCCGGTGCTAGAGCGAACAGTTTTCTTGTAAAGCAGTGATACCTAGTTCCCAAGTGAGGAATTCCTTTGTTCTGTGTATCAGGGAGCATAAGAAAGACACAAAGCTAGCAAAAAGGACACATGACGACAGATAGTAAAACACAATAAGAAATTTTGATTACTTCAGTGGGACTACTCACAGCATAACACTGTACAGTATATTTTTTTCTGTTTGAGCATGACTCACTTCAATGTGAAGTGTCTCACACAGTAACAATATTTCCTAAACGATGGATGCTGCTGCCTTTGTATAAAATCACTCTCACTTATCTTGGCTAGATAATAATGTTAGAAAGAAACAAAAGGTTTAGGTAGAGGATTTGGGGATGAAGTGCTTACAGGTGGTGCTGAAGTGGCCTCATTCACAGCTGTAATAGCTAAATCTCCACCCAGATATAGCATAATTTTGTAGATATTTTTACTCACATTCTTATGGGCAAGATTGCTTTGGCAGTACACATCCTTTTTCTGAGTATGCACCAAAGTACAATAGTCCAAGAGAGGTGTAGCACCTACTCCCTGCCTAAATTCACTTGGGATCTTCTGAGTTAGGCTTTCTTCTGAATAAAATATTTATACTGAGTCCTTATACTTATAAGCTCCTGTGATTACTCTCACTGAGAAGGATGGTGGTTCTAGATTTTGGTCCTTGCATAAGAAACTGGTTTTGCATTTTGTGTGGAAAAAACATAAAGACAGAACAAAGAATGCTTATAGCTACACTGTATTTTTTTATTCCAAGCATGGTGCCCTAACTCTGAGGCAACAGATTTCCCTTTGATTTCTCTTCTTCACCAACACCAACACATCCTTGGTCACCAAAGAATGAAATTACACAGAGGCCTATGCCTCCTTTGTAAAATCACTCATCTTCCAACTACTCTATTGCAGTGTTAAAAAACCTGCTAAAGGTCTCTGCCAAGAGGCAGAGTTTTAAACTATTTAGATGGAAATTTGAGAAGACTAACGGGAACAGTGTTTTGCACTTACCATAAACGTTGTTTCGGAGGTCATCAGTAAAAGCTTTAAGTAGACTCTCTGGGAAAAGTGCTGAACCAGCATGGTCAAGGTAAGTAATCCCTAAAATACAAACAAAATTACTAGAGTCAGTTTTTAAAATATTAAAGTCCATTTTCTCCCCCAGTGTATCATTCAAACAGCCCTTTTCATTCATTAGCAGAAAAAAAAATAAAATAAGGATGAAACAATAGAAACCAAACATTTTGATTACCTGTGCATATTTTTTTAATTAAAAGCAAAGAGGTCCTTCCTTTCATGTTCAGATTTCCTTCAGAAGAGAAATATCTTTTTGTTCGGCCTGTACAAGACTGAGCAGGCTGGTGTCTTCAGTCACAGTACCTTGCTACTCCTATGCACTACTTACTATGAAAACTACTGTTACCACAAAGATAGTAATTATTATTAATAGCAACAGCAATAGTAGCATTGTCCCTATGCTGGCAGGTGAAGCAATTCTCTCAAGAACTGACAAAGCCTAAATTATGCCTGAAGCCCAAAGACAGGACTAGTATAACTTTTAATGTATTTAAATATGTCTCACCACTCTGCTGCACTTAACATTCAATTCATTTTTAAAATCTCCTTTTATATTATAAAGATATTTCAAAACTTTTAAATAAATGCTTATTGGAAATGAAGATTTTTTCATGTTTAGCCATTTTAGATTTCTTAATCTTTAGCAATTATTCTTCCATTTCTCCAGTGCGTTTCATGCCCTTTATTAGTTTTTTCATTTCACTTACCTTAAGTATTTCAACCTATTTCAAATTCTAATAATGATGAATATGATTAAGATTAGAATTTATTAAGTATTTTAAAGGTCTTCACTTTCCACAGGGATTTAAAACTGAGTTAAGCTTTAAAGGAGAAACCTTGACACTAGGAAATACATATTATTATATATTATGTAACTGTAGCAGTGATTCAGTGGGTAAGCCGTGAGGCAGCGCTAATGATAAAACCAATCCAGACACCCATCCTTATTTTTAAGAGTCCTCTCCTGCCTTAAGATTTCCCCACTTAGAGTGTCTAGTAAAAGCAGAATTTCTAATGATGGCTTGAAGTCAACAGAGTGTTTTTGAGGTGCTTCCAAGGATGGAGTGTGGGTCAATTTTTTAGCTGTACAGGCTTTTTAGGGTTTTGGGGGGGTTTTATCCTGGAAAGTCTCTCCCAAACGCTGTGCAACAGCACAAACACGAATACAGTAGGTCAAAATGCATATAGGCGTCCGTCTTGCTCAATTTCTGGCAGCTGCTCAGCTCACCACTGAAATGCAGGGGCTTTGGAGAGAGGGAGGCACGCTGCCTTACAGTAGGACACAACCAGGCCCTTCCCAGCACTGTGGCATGGCTTCGGCCAGCTAAACGACAGCAGCTTTCCCTCCAGCAGGCCACACGCTCACCATAGCCATCCCAGGACCTGCAGCTTGGCACCAAAAGCCTCTGCCTTGAGCTGGGGCTGAAGTGTGGAGCAACGGCCACAACCACCAACACCAGGTCTTGTGGTCAGGGCAATAAACAGCCCACGATCACTGGCTACAGCTGCAAGAGCTGGGAAAGGTAGGACTAGAGCTAAGAACAGGAAGAGGCAGCCCTGAGCCAGACACCAGGGGAAGGACTGCTGTCCTGGAGGTGACATCCTGGCCAACACTCTCCCAACAAAGCCCACACAGAGGTGCCATTTGGCTCATTAGCTTTCATGGGCACCAGGAGCACAGACAAGAGATGCTCTTCTGGGTGCAGAGAGCTGCTGTCTTTGGACCCTTCCAGCCCTAAGGAGGGTGACAGCACTGAAGTGATTACACAACTGTACAGCACAAGGAAACCACCTCAGGCAACCACCTGAGGCTCCTCAAACCATCCACTGACACAAGAATAGGTGCTTCCCATCCTGACCAACACTCCCATGAGGCAATGTGGACTAAAAGATCTCTAGGTAAAGGCCCCGTAAGTGGTTTTTCAAATCTGATTCCTTACATAGCTCATGATGAAGAATAATACTGTGGTTCTGTGAAATGGAAGTAAAAAAAAAAAACAGGGTATAATGCTTTGGAAATCTGTGAGGAAATTTGGCTGAGGAAGGAAAAATTACTAATTCTTAAACTTTTATTTTGTGTTTAATGCTGCTGTTTAATTGAAAACAGAGAACAGCATTTAATACTCTCTCTCCACTACCCAAAAATGAAATGGGATCTTTCATCATTTGAGACTGCACTGAAAAAAATATCTTCATTGCTATTGCACTTTTATGATGTAGTTTTTCCTTGCTGTCTTATTTCAACAAAATTGTATTTTTAAAGGAAAGAAAAAAAAGTGGCATGTGTATAACACCACCAAAAAGCATATTAATAACCTTCATTGTGCTTTTCCCCTGGTTTAATAACATTTGCTATTTTATCTTTATTGAATGCACATTAACCAAAGAAATTTGTCAGTATACAGAGAATAATACAGTTCCCCCTTTCACTGTGGTATTTAGTATAAAGGCTGTCAGCACTATGAAATTACACTGTTTACAGGAAGTAATAGGAGAAAGAAAATATAATATGATCAACCAAAAGAAAATTACAATGTAATATCCATCAGGACATGGTTTCATTGCTCAGGGAAAAAGTACAATTAACTTTTAGTTTAATTTACATACTATTATGTTTGGATTGTGTAACTGACTTCACTGATCTAATAATATACCAACTATTTGATAAAATCATATTTCAGAAGTAGGGTTTTTTTTAAAAGAGTATCGAAAACCATTCAATGTGTTGGCATTAGTTATGGAAAGTTATTCAGCCAGAGTATTGGTTGAAAAGCTGCAATATTGATATGCTAATATCCTTGCAGATTAATTTTACACGGGGAACTATTTGGGTACCAACACAGGCCAGTCCACCCTGCTGAAGAGAGTCCCAGCCCAGCTCTCTGATCTTCTTATGAGCTACAAATCACTCTTAACAAAGCATTCACCATGTCCAAATGCCTACCTTGGCTCTTTGTAAAACTTCATGAGTGCACATGTACCTACAGCCTCAGAAACGCCAGGGGACCATTCAGTTTAACTGAAGATTTCTATCTCTTAAATGAAAAAAGATAATTTAATTTGGAGCTTTTCAACATTAAAGTTTAAGACCAAGTGACAACACTCAACTGCACAAAATCTGACAATGTGCAAAACATGCAAGGCAAAAAGAAACTACCAGATTAATCCCTGGGAGCCAAAATATCTGCTTCTGACAAAAGCATACTTTCCTAAAATGTGAAGACTTAGAAGAAATTTAAAGGCATCATTCGATGAACTGCATGTAGAACAAGGCAGTTACATCTTCACTAAATCTCTTAGTAACTACTAAGCTATGTATATTTCTACCACCCAGAGGATGGTCTAGAGGGGAAGGAGCACGAGAGACCATGGAGGCACCCCCTAAAATGGCCTGGTGGCACATGGAGACTAAGCTTTCTCCTTCACAACCCTTGTTGAGTGACCCAGTTCCTCTCTGGTTTAATTATTACTACCTTGGTATTATGTAATTTGTTCTTTTAATCCTTGAAATTGTTCTTGGTGTTACACATTTCTGAACTTTGACCATCACTTCCAAAAATAACCAATTTACCTATATACCATGTGACTGCTCTATGTTCACCTCCTTTACCTTTTGTTATCCTGTGATTCTACCACAGTCACCAAAACAAGCCAACCTGCTCTGTGGCTTCACAGATTATTTCTCACAGCCCTGAAACATAAAAACTCCTGCACTCCAACTGATTACAGGCTGCCAGTTATATCGCCAAAAGTCTCATAATGAAGAATGAAATGTGTAGTTACAAGTCAGCAACTCTACAGAGTCATGAATTTTGATTGGTGGATATAATTGCAATTCAGTAGTATTATCTACACAATATTACTTGGGAAGTAATGCCCTGGGGAGACAGTATATATCTTAAGTACAGCAATATTAACAAAACAAGTATGAAATAGATTATATGAAAACAAGCTGAAGTCTTATCTGTTAAAAGATAAAGATGAGATTTTCATACATGAAAACAAAAGAAGGAGAAAAAACAAAAGACAAAATAGGGTGGAGAGGGCTCTACAGAGGTCGTAGACAAGTATGATATAATTTGGATACAGTGACATTTTAACAGGTAATTTCACATCAGCTACCTCAGATTCATGGAATCATTGGATGGCCTGGGTTGGAAGGGACCTGAAAGATCATCTAGTTCCCACCCCCCTGCCATGGGCAGGAACACCTGCCACTAGACCAGGTTTCTCAAAGTCCCATCCAACCTGTCCTTGAACACTTCCAGGGATGGGGTATCCACAACTTCTCTGGGTTCCAGTGCCTCACCACCCTCACAGTAAAGAATTTCTTCCTAATATCTAGTGTAAACTTATTCTCTTCCAGTTTGAAGCCATTCCCCCTTGTCCTGTCACTATACGCCCTTGCAAAAAGTCCCTCTCCATCTTTCTTGTAAGCTCCCTTCAGGTACCAGAAGGCCATAATTCGGTCACCCTGAAGCCTTCTCTTTTCCAGGCAGAACAAACCTAATTCTCTCAGCCTTTCCTCATAGGAGAGGTGCTCCATCCCTCTGATAATCTTGGTGGCCCTCCTCTGGACTCACTCCAACAAGATCAGTGTCTTTTCTTTGCTGAGGACTCTAGAGCTGGATGCAGCATCTCAGGTGGGGTCTCAGAGAGTGGAGTAAAGAGGCAGAATTACCCTCAACCTGCTGGCCACGCTGCTTTTGATGAAGCCCTGGATATGGTTGGCTTTCTGGGCTGTGAGTGCACATTGCTGGCTCATGTTGAGCCTCCAGGTTATTAATCCAAGTCTGATACTCTTTAGAGCCAACTCCCTCCTTCCAGTGACTGCATAAGAACTTAGCTCCCCCAAAGGATGCTCCTAAATTAAATGTCAAAAGTAGCTTTAACTATGTAATGTAATACATATAACCTTTATAAAAGTGCCTGAAATCTCACGACGACACAGGGCATGATATGTCCACACACTGTAAGGACAGATGGACAGTAAAAGATCTCATTATGCTAAACCATTAATTAAG